GCAGAAGAGGACGGGGGAAGATCAAGAAAGGAAGAGTGGGAACACAAGGGAATTTGTATGAAACGCATGAATAGTGACAATAGATTGTTGATGTTTTGCAACAGGAACAGTCCAGTTTGATAGGATGAACTGATATTTTGCAAATTAACGATTTACGATATGGTTTTCCAATTTTACTGAGTAACTCTGTAATTTTCGTTAAATACAATTCGGTTGCCCCACCTGTGTTCTCATTCACTACATGAAGGAGTTGCAGGACGGAGATTGGCGGAGCTTCATGGAGGAGTTTGAGGGCACGGTGGAGCTGGTGGGGGCCCGGGGAGTAGTTGACGGTGCTGGGGACGCTGCGGGGGAGTGAGGCGAAGGCGGTGTGCGACAGCCTGGACGGTGCCGCCGGGAAGACGGTCACCGGGCGGCTGATGACGGAGTTCGACAGCCCAGTGGACAGGGAGGAGGCGCCGCAGAGGTTCCGGTTGGCGCGGCTGTCGGATAATGGTGACCTGTTGGTGCTTGCTGTGGAGCTCACCAGATTGCGCCGTGAGGAGTGGGGGGCACAGTTGTTGGCGTCGCAATTATTCGAGAGTGTGCCTGCCGCCGTGTCCCAGCATCGGGAACTGGTAAACGCTACACGTTGGATAGATGCCGTATCCATTCCAGACCAGCGCGCAAGAACGATGACCGAAGTGGTAATCCGGCATATTGTAGCGTGTCACGGAATACGGAAGGTGATATTAACTGACGAGGGGCCCTGTTTGAAAGACTACGACGACAGCTTATTAAAAGGGGGGACGAGTGTGGTGTGAGCTACTTATAAGTAGTATATGACGTGAGTGTCAACGTAATGTCTGGCAGGAGAAGATGAGGGAAGATCAAGAGAAAGGAAGAATGGAATTTGTATGAAATGCGCATGAATAGTGACAATGGATTGATGTTTGGCAACAGGAACAGTCCAGTTCGATATGATGATGAATTGATATTTTGCAAATTAACGATTTACGATATGGTTTTCCGATTTTACTGAGTAACTCTGTAATTTTCGTTAAATACAATCCGGTTGCCCCACCAGTGTTCTCATTCACTACATAAGATGGAGATGACTAACCTCACGCTTAAACTATTTTTGCAAATTTAACATTATGAACACGTTTCTCTCTTGTTCACAAGACAGTAGACATTCGCAAATCCACACAATACTTCCCATGGAAAGAATTTAACACCTTAAAGTCTACAAAAATCATGACAGCTTACAACAACAACTGAATTTCAACTTTATTATCTCCAAATTTACAACCTCAAGTTGTTGAATTAAATTTATATATATATATATATATATATATATATATATATATATATATATATACTTGAAGTATCATTATGAAATCTCAGTCAGTATTGTGATTGACTATTTTGTCTTGGTTACACCTACACTTATACTAAACAGTAATCAACCCCTTGGTATAAATTCAACTACCATAATCAATAAAGCTGCTGAGTCATATTCGGAGTTATTTTCTACTTTCCTTCACAATACATACATAATACATACCAAACATAACTAGTAAATAATAGAATAAATTAATTCAGAATCTATATTATTTGTTATAGAATAAACTTTATTGCCTAATATTTTCAATCTGGACAATATATTAAGATTCAAAAAGTCAAGTATAAATATGTAATGGAGAGAATGTGTAAGGCGTTGAATTCATTGACATTTATGTTATGATGATGATGATGAAGGCATTGTTGGTCAAGAACAAAAGATCCATGGTTACATTCTTATTTATGTGATCAATTCATTTTGACCAGGAGTAAAGAATTTACGAAGAGGAAAAATCAGATTGATGACAGAGACCTCGTGGAGTTTTGTGCATCTTACCTGATATCAGTTTGTGATGAAAACTTTAACTTTAATTACCACACCTAACTTCTAAAACACTCAATTATGTATGATCTAGTTCCTCACATTAATTCATAATTCAGCCTTAAAGTCAATACGTTATGTTCCTGACAGTCACCATAGAATCGCTGTCTCCTTTAAATGATTGTCTCTCTGGGTTAATTGAGATATTGTCCATAAGTGTATTGTACTAGCACTTCCAATCATTTTTTTTCCGTCCATTTAGTGGGTGACTGGTGTATTATGTTAAAGAGAAAATTCTATTAGACATTGAACTTCAAGCGCTTGGAACTAAATAAAGCTGTCTACTATGAATATTTCAGAATAGCGCAAACTAACATGTCGTCGACACAAACATGGGAAGAATTATTAATGAGAAGTACATTAAAATGAAGTAGTTCAGTCAGTCAGTCAGATGCAACGTAGAACTTCGTACGTAAGTACATCAATTCATGTTGCCATACCACATCAACACAGAGATATAATTGTCAATTCAAATCCAATAGTAGAAGGGGTAGTAAAGGTATTAGAAGTAATCGGAGAGGTTAGGATAAGAAGATATTATTCAAGAAGTATGATTCAGTGAGAAAAGTTTAGAAAGTCAAAACTAGAGTTGTTGAAGAACCCAGAAGATTAGGATTTGAGAGAACATAAAGAATAAATGCACCAGCGCCAGTGCGAACGATTTTGAGCCATGTCATTCAAGGTCTCTAACCATCGATTATTATGATCTCGCGGACCCCAACCAGGCAGTCGACAATTACCAACATGGCTCAGTCCACTAGTAGTTACCAACTAAATGAACAAAGAAATGGCCAGAAGTGCAACATACAACACAATTATTGTATACTGAAAACGTTATGGATAACCTTAACCATAGTATCATATTAATTTACAAGACAAAAATAAAATTTTGCCCAAAATGATAACTGACCACCTCAAACTTTGTAGCTACACAGATTGCGGACATGGAATGAAAAAAAGTCACAAACTGTCTTCGCAAGTATTGCCCGTATCATTTATTACGTACACAGAGACGAACCACCCAGCTTGGAAGTAAACTTTTTGCATGGGGTTTAATGATATGAATCAACTGACCAAAGTGAAATATATGTGGAGTGAATTCGAACAAGCTGCTAAATAACCAATACTTTATACCTACATAATTGATGATGATGACTGATAAACATGATTTGTTCTAAATCGTGTTGTTACGGGTATTTTTAGGGCCGACATTTTCTAACCGCTTCCTTCCTTGTGAGAAGGCAGCATCACTGCAGATGCTGGTTGTCCGAGGGAAACTCCTTACTACTGTCACACCCTTCTTCAGTCAGCAGTACGACTTCGCCCTCAGACCTTCGGTAGCTGCTTTTAGTCTCATCGTTCTCCAATCGACCTGCCTGGCATGGTAGGACCTGCAGGAACATATGTTCCAGCCAGTATAGCTCGGTTGGGTCATCACGATAGGCAAACACGACCATCACGTCAAGGTAGCAGCTACGGTCGGGGATTTGTTCTAAATCGGTATTTCTAAATAGAGAACAGCTATGAGCTTCAAGATCTTCAGGCCAGAAACACTTGACTGAAACAAAATGTTCCACTGCGCCACTGACTACAGTTTATATTGCAATAGTTTAAACAGGAAGATATAAATCAGTCAAATTAAATCATGTGAAATAACATTGAAACTCAGTCTATGTGGATTGATAAGGACTGGAGGAATATATCTGAGTCACTGCAATCGATTTTTAGCAAGTCACTCAACATCAACCACTGATTAAAATTATCGAATGGAGTCAAACCAAGTAGTCTCCCCACCTGCTGGCATGACTGAAGTTAACAACGCAGAACTTCGTACGTAAGTACGTCAGTTCAGGTTGCCATACCACATCAGCACAGAGACCCAACTGTCAGTTCAAATCCAACAGTGATAGCAATAATAGAAGTTTTAGCAGTAACGGAGAAGATTAGGGAGCGAAGATATGATTCTAGAAGTATAATTCAGTGAGATAAATTTAGAACGAGAAAGGTAGAGATGATGAGGAATGCAGAAGCTTAGAATTTCACAGAACACAAAGTGTGGATGCACCTGCACCATTGCAAACGATTCTGAGCCATGTCATTATTCAAGTTCTCTAACCATCGGTGATTTTTGTCTCGCGGATCCCAACCAGATAGAATACATCTACCAACATGGCTCGGTCCACTTGTCAGTGACTTCATGCATTTGTGCCATGTTTTCGTTTGGCCGCCCCTAGCTTCCTTCCAATCTACTCCTACACTGCAAAACATAGCTCGTTGAGGCAGTCGGTGGTCAGGCATACGTAGCACATGTCCCAATCACTTCAACTGATGAAGTTTCATTACTTCATCTATTGATTTGCCGTTCCTAACGACAGCATTGCATATACGTTTTTCCCATGATACATGAGCAATTCTTTGGAGACACCGATGATCGAAGACTAGTAACCTACGGAAGTCCTCTACTCTTAACGGCCAAGTCTCGCATCCGTACAGTAGGACGGATCGGACTGCTGCACAGTACACTCGTCCTTTAGTCAGCAAACGGATATCTCGCCTGCGCCATAGGTGACGCAGGTTAGCAAAAGCCAATCGAGCCTTCTGTATCCGAGCTGAGATTTCGTCATTGAAGTTAACAATCCATAACTTGAAAGACGGATGCCATTTCTTAATTTGGGAACCTTTTAGCTTTCTTCTAATCTACTTCTACACTACCGAGGTTTGAGATCGCCATAAGATAATATGTCGTTCGCAGACTATCACACAATATTTAGAATGAATCGCATTGATTGAATCAGATTACTGCTGATGCCCACGTGAAATTGTGTACCAACCCAAAAGTCTACCATTTATGCGTTAACGCACGAGAAAAAAGATCCCGCTTGCAGTGTTACAGATGTGCACTTTTAAGGAGACTGAAAAAAATAAGAAACGATTGTGCAATGCTTCCAGATTTCCAATGGTTGACTGAATTTGACAGGCCGGTGATTTCAATAAAATCATTTACACTTTGAAACAAACTAATCACACATTCACTTTCAAAATCTACAAAATGAAAAAAAAAAGTTTATATACTCACCAATTTTGATTCTGTCATTTGTAATCGAAAAATTATAGCTTGAGTATAACTAGCTATAATAAATAAATGATATCTATGTCGACTAGTCCATATTGCAATCAACTGACCAATGAAATGAGCGAATAAAATTGCGCACAAAGCTGCTAAATTCTGTGAAATAAAATTAAAAAAAAATTTCCATTTAAATTACTTTCACTAATGATTTAAACGTAACGAAAAGAAGTGACTCCATTCAATTTAAACACAAAATGTATTCCATAGAAATCATAATCTATTACAGAATTCCTACTCTACCACTACCGCACACATAATATTCAATGATTAACTAATCTAGTGATGTTTTAGGATTTCACTAGGGTTTTTTTCCTAGTGAAAAATGCATTGGTTTATGTGTTATTTACAATCCTTGTGACAAGCGTTAAGTATTTGTTGTTTTACACTGCCGTTCATATTCTGTAATAGAAAAACAGAATTTGAATTCCACCAACTAAAAAAAGTGTTGAAAATAAAAGCAATCAATTATTTTTTTTTAACTAATTTCATGCGAAAATAACAAAAGCTCTTCATTGACTAACTTTAGTTAGTTAGTTAGTTGCAACGTAGAACTTCGTACGTGTGTACGTAAGTTCATGTTGCCATACCACAACATTAGCACAGAAATGCAAATGTCAAATCAAATCCCATAGTGATAAAGATAGTAGAGGTATTTATGATAATGAAGAAGACTAGGGTTTCAAGTATAATTCAGTGAGATAAGGTTATATAGACAAAGGTAGAGGTGCTGAAGATTCCAGAAGATTAGGATTTGAGAGAGCTCAAAGAATGGATGCACCTGCACCATTGCAAACGATTTTGAGAGACGTCGTTCAACGTTTCTAACCATTGGTGACTATCGTCTCGCGGACCCCAACCACGTAGTCGACATCTACCAACAGAACTCAGTCCACTTGTCAGTGAGTTCATGGATTTGTGCCATGTTTTAGTCTGGCCGCCCCTAGCTTTTTTCCAACCTACTCCTACATCACAAAACATAGCAAGGTCAAGTGAATGATGCTACCCGGATCCTGTATGCGCGTTTCCGAGACGCAGCACACATCGATAGCACGAGATTCTAAAGTCCTAGTTAATGATGCCTGTTGCCCTATTTGACACAATGTCCGTACATTAAATGCTCCAAGATGCAGTTTAGAACGGGGTTTAAGGAGACCAGGAACGACGTTTCGAGAACTCGCATCGTTTGCATTAGCGGTGCAGTCAGATAAAGGAATGTGAGAAGAGTTAGTCGTGCAGATAAGAGAGGTATTAGGGGCTGTAGGAAGGATTTGATTTTGACTGATTTGGTCTTGTGTGAACTTACGGGTGTGAGGACGGCTGTCGATTCCCGGCCGCCCACACCGTGGAAGGTTGTTTCTTGAGGGACCTGAAAAAGAAGATAGATTGGTGTTGATCTTAGAGACCTGGGTGCATGACCACAGAGCCCAAGGGACAACTGCTTCAGGCCAGTCACGCACGGCCTTTTTATGAGAAATTTTTTAAGTGTTAGCTCTTGAAAGCCCTTAGTGGGCACCCTTACCCAAGGAGACGGAAATCCGTGAGGTAGGGTGAAGTGGAACATTTTTAAGGTCGACCTTTTCTGACCCTTCCTCCCTTGTGAGAAGGCAGCATCGCTGCAGATGCCGCTTGTCCGACGGAAACACCTTACTGCTGTCACACACCTCCACAGTCAGTCAGCAGTACGACTTCGCCCTCAGACCTTCGGTAGCTGCATTTTGTCTCATCGTTATCCAATCGACCTGCCTGGTATGGTAGAACCTTCAGGAACGTGAGTTCCAGCCAATATAGCTCGGTCGGGTCATCACGGTAGGCAAGCCCGACCACCACGTCAAGGTAGCAGCTTCGGTCGAGATTGACTAATTAGTTTGGTCTTAAAGTAAAGTTATACTGATAGGATAGTGTAGACCGTCGTCTCGGTGTTTTAAATCTAATATACAAACATCTTCAACTGTTGTGCACGAAAACCCAGGTTGTGAGGACATCAACAATATATATTAAAGCGAATATTACAGAGTTGTTAGGCATATTTACAAAACCTTCCCGTGAAACCTTCATCATTTGCCAATCAATCCTTATTTGTTTCAGATTTCAGTGTTCTTTCACATTTAGACTGTTCAGACTTCAGTTCATTTTACGTGACCTACAAATCGCCTTCTGTTCTCTTATTCTTTCCTTATATATACATCAGTTCAAGCTGCCAGATCACATTAGCACAAAGATGTAATTGTCAATTCAAATCCCACAGTAGTAAAGGTAGTAAAGGTATTATCAGTAATCGAAGAGATTAGGGTCTGGCGATATTATTCAAGTAGAAAAATTAGTGAAATAAAGATAAAGTGATGATGAATATTCAGAAGATTAGTTGAGGTGGAGAGTTGTTAAACAAACAAATAAGAAAGGAATCGAAATGATAATGCGGAAGACTGAATGTTGATAATCAGTTTAGAAAAAGTATCGTGAAAATGTATGTGGTGTAAAAGAAATACCAGAACTTGGGGGAATAATAGTCAGACACAAGTAAAGCAGGACTTGTCGTATCTATACATCAGTTTAAGTTACCACATCAGAACGACCATATACCAACCAGAGTAGTAAGAGTAGTATCAGTAGTTTAATTGGAATAGAAATCTAAATATAATCCTGAGAAAATCAATACTTGGCTATAATCATTACTTTCCTATTTATAAATAAAAGCCTTCACATTCAGTAGAAAGATGTAGGTAAAAATGAAAGTGTGGTGTGAGCTACTTATAAGTAGTATATGACGTGAGTGTCAACGTAATGTCTGGTGGCAGCAGAAGATAGGGGAAGATCAAGAGAAAGGAAGAGTTAGTTAGAACACAATGGAATTTGTAGTGAAACGCATGAATAGTGACAATGGATTGATGTTTTGCAACAGGAACAATCCAGTTCGATATGATGCTGGACTGATATTTTGCAAATTAACGATTTACAATATGGTTTTCCTATTTTACTACTGAGTAACTCTGTAATTTTTGTTAAATACAATTCGGTTGCCCCACCCACTACAAAAGCACCAACCTTGACCCATTAACAATCAAAAAAAAAACCAACAGAGAACAACTTACATTACGCCATAATAATCCCTGATAATCAGTCCACCATAAACTAGGTTGTATTAAAGTAGCATTTTGAATCCATTCAGGGCATAATGATGATGAATTTATGAAAATTGTATAATCATCATTTCTACTCTCCTTATCATCAATGAAATTCGACAACATTGCTTCACCAGTTCGTGTTAATTCATAATTCACATTAATCAATAGAAAGTATAACATGGAACTGATAATAGTTAAACTATAAAGCCAATACTTTGACCAAATACTATCTACATCATAAAATCCAAGAATAACAATAATACTAAATATAAGTAACCAAAGATTATCAATCAGATGATCAGTATGATCAATATCAAATTGATTGTATTGATGAATAATAGTTAATTGATTCATAATGAATGAAGTAGAAGTATCATCTGGAAAAAAAATAATAAAATAAAATAAAATAAAATAAAATGTAACGATAAAAAAAAAATAGAATTAGAATGTTACAACAAGGAGAATGATGAATAATTTCATGAGAATAAGCACAGAAAAGTAATTATTTAAAGATAATAATAAATGACAGTAAAAAGTAAAGTAAATGATTTACAAGTACAAACTTCGGAAACGCCTTAATGAAACACTTTCAATTAAAAAAATTTAGAAGTTCCATATACAACTCAAACAATTCGTTTTTTTTATTTATTTAAATTGACGTAATTTACAAGTACTTGGATATAAACCGTATGGAGGTTAATGTTACTAACCAGTTGCTTAAACTGAAGTAGGTGGCGCGATGCTCAAATATAAGACTTACAACCTGAAAATCAAACGCCTAAACCACTAACTAACCTACCACTTCATAACTCAAACAACTACTTACTTACACCAAAACATGGCAGAAATCCATGAAGTGATTGACAAGTGGACTTAGCCATGTCGTTAGTTGTCGACTACGTGGTTGGGGTCCGCGAGATGATAAAAATCGATGGTTAGAGACCTTGAACAACGACATGGCTCAAAATCGTTTGCAATGGCGCCGGTGCATTTATTCTTCTTTGTATTCTCTCAAATCCTAATCTTCTGGATTCTTCAACACCTAGTTTTGACTTTCTAAACTTCTCTCATTGAATCATACTTCTTGAATAATATCTTCTAATCCTAACCTCTCCGATTACTTCTAATACCTTTACTACCTCTTCTACTATTGTATTTGAATTGACAATTACATCTCTGTGCTGATGTGGTATGGCAACATGAACTGATGTACTTATGTACAAAGTTCTACGTTGCATCTGACTGACTGACCTGTTACCCCTCTGCGGCTATTGCCGGTGCCAAGAGCGGATAAAGTAGGAGGGTTGGGCATGGGGGGGTTGGTGAACCCATTCCATGGGAAACTAACTCGATAAAAAGACGCTAACCAGAAAAAACTATCCAAACAACTAGCCAATAACTTAATAAATCAATATTAAATTATTCCTACTTTAGATAACAACAGCACGTGTGGATATTGGTGGAGGCCATGATCTGGCATCGACTGGACTAACAATTAAGCTACTCCGATTGGTGGATTCTATACTAGGAAAAAAAACGGCTTTCCAGTGCTTCCAGGTTTCTAATGGCGATCTAACAATGATAGCATACTTTTGAATTGGTAAATCAAATGAGAAAACTCCCCAACCGATTGCATTCTAATATCTCAAGAATTGAAAACCGTTCAGTCAATCAGTCAGTCAGTCAACAACAACATAGAACTTCGTACGTACGTACATACATCAGTTCAAGTTACCATAACACATTAGCACAGAGATACAATTGTCAATTCAAATAGCATAGTAGTAGTAGAGGTAGTAAAAGTATTAGCAGTAATCGGTGTATACCAAACATGTGACGCACGCTAAAAATCATTCATTCATTTCATTCAGACGCAACGTAGAACTTCGTACGTAAGTACATCAGTTCATGTTGCCTTACCACCTCAACACAGAGATGTAATTGTCAATTCAAATACAATAGTAGAAGAGGTAGTAAAGGTATTAGAAGTAATTGGAGAGGTTAGGATTACAAGATATTATTCAAGAAGTATGATTCAGTGAGAAAAGTTTAGAAAGTCAAAACTGGGTGTTGAAGAATCCAGAAGATTAGGATTTGAGAGAATACAAAGAAGAATAAATGCACCGGCGCCATTGCAAACGATTCTGAACCATGTCATTCAAGGTCTCTAACCATCGATTTTTATCATCTCGCCCACCCCAACCACGTAGTCGACAACTAACGACATGGCTAAGTCCACTCGTCAATCACTTCATGGATTTCTGCCATGTTTTGGTTTGGCCGCCCCTAGATTTATTCCAACCTACTCCTACACTACAAAACAAAGCTCGACGAGGTAGTCGGTGGTTGGGCATACGCAACACATGTCCCAAACACCTCAACTGATGAAGTTTCACTACCTCATCGATTGATCTGCCATTCTTACCTAGCACCCGATTCCTAATAACAGCGTTGCTCACTCGGGTGTCCCACGATATACGAGCAATGCTTCGAAGACACGTATGATCGAAAACCAGTAACCTACGAATATCTTCTACTCTCATTGGCCATGTTTCACAGCCATAAACTAAGACGGAGCGAACTACTGCGCAGTACACTCGTCCTTTAGTCAGCAAATGGATATCTCGCCTACGCCATAAGTGACGCAGGTTGGCAAAAGCCAATCGAGCCTTCTGTATCCGAGCTGAGATTTCGTCAGTCACCATGCCATCGGCACTTATGAGACTCCCCGAATAAGTGAAGCGGTCTACACGTTCGACCACTTCACTCCCTATCACTAGTTCAGGTGCCGATGAAACCCAATCTTAAAGAAACATTTTGCATTTCGAGGGTGAGAACCGCATCCCGAACATGCTTGCATTGTTGCTTATGGTAGTCAGAAGATTCTGCATTTTGTCAGCGTCTTCACCAAGTAGGACAATGTCATCGGCATATTGTAAGTTAATAAGCGAGCCACCTGGTAAAAGGTCTACTCCTGAAAGTTCAGACGAGGATAAGGTTGTTTCTAAGAGCATGTCTATGATAAAATTAAACAAGAGATGACTAAGATCAATCAATCTGATCTAACAAAAATATTTTGAATAATCGTTAACAAACATCTCACACTGTTAACGAAATTGCAAATGAGCATTATCTTTTTAAAAAAAATAATAATTACACAAATCAAACAACAGTAATGTAAATAGTATGATTCTAATGCTCAATTCTCCGTAAACTAACCAATGAATGCAAATCAGTTAAGTACGGGTACGTGTTGACACTGTATGAAAAGTTAAAAAAAAAACAATATTCAGTCAATCTGCTGAATAAAGTAAGTTGAACAAGGGTCTAAAAAAAATGTGAACGAAAACAACAATGTAGAATCGAGTAGAATGATATATCTTCTCAAGTTGCAGCTTCTTATCATAAAAAACAAAAACAGAGCTCGTTAATGAATTAACTTGGCCTTAGCTGTTATAATTCTCTTTTTATTACAACCCAGCTACTATTCCTTAATGCTTAAGTATTCTCAGACACCAATACACTCGAGACGTTCTCCTCAAATCAGAGCACGGTTGGAACGGGAAATAGAATATATTCAAATAACAAGGAGGTTAAATGGAAGACAGAAAGTCAAAAGGAAAAGACGTTAGTACATTTATAGATTCAAGAATGTTGCCCCAGTATCGTATCGACTAGCGCCTATTGGATACGGAAGAGGCAATCAGTGTACAGCAACGCAAGCACAAGTAAATCGAAAGATTCCAACATTCGTTTATGATTGGTCGCTGTCAATGCTGTTTAAAATGAATTGCAAATAGTCAGCTGAACACATTCTTCACCTTTCTCAACAAGTTCATCCTATATTTGTTTATATGTTTATATGTTTAAATCTCGACTCTCTTACTTCACATTTCCTTAGTTGCTATTTGTTGAACTAAAGACAAATGTAATTAACTTGAAATCATAAATATTTTGTGCGGTAGTCACCAATGTTCACAATTCTAATTGCCAACTCTCTCTCTGTAAGAAAAACTGAATCTGTTACAGTATGATTTCACATTGCTGTAAAACAAAGCGAACTAGAACGAAGTAAAACAAAGGAAAAAAAATCAAACACAAAGGCGTGAAATCAATTACATCTGCTACAGGTTCATTCATTGATTCATTCACACACATACAACACACGTGTGTGGTGTGTGTGTGTTTGCACTTCCTCAATTCCCTTCATTTTCATTTGATGAAAACAAATTAGTTAATTAAAACTAACTTTTAGCAAAGGAGAATAAGAACAGAATGCACAAAATTGATTTTACTGTCTAACTTAGATCTAGTTCAGTGAGAGAGATTGATTTAGATCAGTGATGACTATGAACAATTAGTAATATGATTATTATTATTATTATTATTATTATTATTATTATTATTATTATGAATATTGTAATTATTCATCATGAATGAATGAATGTTGTTGTTGTTTCATTCAAATTGATGAAAGAAAAAAATCCCAAAACATGTGAGTCATTCAACTCATGACTGTTATGGATTTTTTTTTCCAGTCGGACGGAAAAAAAAACAAAAATAATTTTGCTATTGTATTTTAATTTAGGTGTACTGTCCTACATGTACACGTACACGTAGGTGTGTGCACGTGCTATGATGCTGCTGCAGCATAGCATGTGCACACATTGTATTATATATGGGAGATGTATTTTGTAAAGCACATATATATGTATATGTATGGTTATATCCAGTGGCTTTATTTAGTTAGGCATGTGTTATGTCTGTGAATAGTTTTCATTAGGTGAAGAATGGTAAAAATAAAAAAGGGGAAATAAGAAAGGGGAACAAAGAAATAGTTAGCAAAATTCAATCATTACCACTATCTGTGTGTACTGTGTGTGTGATGTGAATTGGAAGCATATAGGAGTTTTTTCAAAAAAAAATTACCGTTATCAGAGTTAGATTTGATGATAAGTCAGTCAGTCAGTCAGATGCAACGTAGAACTTCGTACGTAAGTACATCAGTTCATGTTGCCATACCACATCAGCACACAGATGTAATTGTCAATTCAAATCCAATAGTAGTAGAGGTAGTAAGGGAATTCAGTCAGTCAGATGCAACGTAGAACTTTGTACATAAGTACATCAGTTCATGTTGCCATACCACATCAGCACAGAGAAGTAATCGTCAATTCAAATCCAATAGTAGAAGAGGTAGTAAGGGAATTAGAAATAATCGGAGAGGTTAGGATTAGAAGATACTATTCAAGAAGTATGATTCAGTGAGATAAGTTTAGAGAGTCGAAACTAGAGGTGTTGAAGAATCCAAAAAGATTAGCATTTGAGAGAACACAGAGAATAAATGCACCGGCGCCATTGCGAACGATTTTGAGCCATGTCATTCAAGGTCTCTAACCATCGATTATTATCATCTCGCGGACCCCAACCAGGTAGTCGACAATTACCAACATGGCTCAGTCCACTAGTCAATGACTTCATGGATTTCTGCCATGTTTTGGTTTGGCCGCCTCTAACTTTCTTCCAACCTATTCCTACACTACAAAACAAGGCTCGACGAGGCAGCCGGTGGTTGGGCATACGCAACACATGTCCCAACCACCTCAACTGGTGAAGTTTCATTACTTCATCAATCGATCTGCCATTCTTACCTAGCACCCGATTCCTAATAACAGCC